ATTTTCGTCTATACCCTATTAGTACTGCCGCTGCTAACCGTTTTTTGAGGCTATCGCGATGTCGTCGCAGGAAGAGATCAAATTTAAGAAAGAGGAGGCCGTCGCCGCGCCTGGCGCCGCGTCGGCGGCCTCCGCTGGCTCTGCCGCCGCCGACCCCATCCTTCTCGACGACTCCTCTACTGCTAGTGAGGGCGACGATGTTACTACTGTTAACCCTGGCCTCACCTACGCCCATACTGTTGAGTATGACGACTATGGCCTCGTTAAGTACGCCTGCCCCGCCTTAGGCAAGAGATTTCCCTCTAAAAAAGCTGCCCACGAGGCCCTACTCGCCGCCTGCCTCGCCGACGGCTTCCAGGCGCGCGTTGCGCGAGTTGCGCGCGGCCCTCAAGAGAAGACCTTCTACCAGTGCGCCCACTCGCCACGCCGCGATAGCGCCTAAACGAGGCAGCGCGAGGCTCGAGTTCACGCTTCGAAGCGCTGCAAGGGCTCCTCTTGCACGACTTCTTGCCCGTGGCAGGTTATTATTCAACTTGACCCTACCCGCGGCGATTACTTCGTTCGCAGCGTACTTGACGTGCCAGGGCAGCCCAAGCACTGCGACTGCCACAACCACGAATTTTTCGGCGCCGACTCCTACCACAAGACGCGTTAACCCCTCCTCGCCGAGGCGGCGCCGAAAATCGTATGCCTCTGGAACCGCGGCACTCGACCTATCCACCTCCTCGCAGCCCTACGCGCAGAAGGTGCCTAATACAACGTCGTCAGCTACCGCGACGTTATTAACATCCTCGTCCGCCACCGCCGCGAAGAGCTCGCTGGCCGCACGCCGATCGAGTGGCTGTTCGACCAATTAGACGACTCGGAGAAGTACTGGTACCGCTTTAAGCAGGATTCTGAGGGCCACGTTACAGCTCTTTTTATGGCGCCGCGAACGGCAGTTGCCCACCTCAAAAGCCACCCCGACGTCCTACTGATGGATTCGACGTATAAGACCAATCGCTTCAATATGCCACTTTTTAACGTATGCGGCGCCACTAGCAACGGGCAGGCCTTCTAAGTTGCCTCCTGCTTCCTATCTGGCGAGAAGGAACGCGATTATAAGTGGGCAGTCAACGCTCTCGCTGAACTACTTAAGGACCACGATATTGATCGCCCATAGGTCACTTGTACTGATCGAGAACTTGCCCTTATTAAAGCCCTCGACGCCAGCCCTGCCTTCCACGACGTACCCCACCTTCTCTGCTGCTGGCACGTCAATATGAACGTTCTCGCCAAAACTAGGCGCCACTTCCCCCGCGCCACGAAGAACGCTGACGGCAGCGTTACTCGCCACCTGCAGTTTACCTGGTTTCTCGAAGATTGGAACGATCTCCTCCGCGCCGATACGCGAGATACGTACAACCAACGAAAAGCCGCCTTTGAGAGTGCTGGCTACCCTGACCCTGCAGTTGACTACGCCCTCTCTACGTGGATTATGCCTTGGCACAAGAAGCTGGTGGCCTTCTGGACTAATCAGATTGCCCACTTTGGCCACACCACAACGTCGATCGTCGAGTCTTCTCACGCCTCTATCAAGCGCTGGGTTTGCTGCTGTACTGGCGATCTTAAGAGCGTCTTCCAGAAATTGGTGGTTTTTTGGGATCAGCAGAACAACAACCTAACGCAGTACGTCAAAACGCATAAGGGCAAGGCGCCAAGTTAGCTTGATGAAGTCTTCAGCAAAATCAAGCGCCACGTCTGTAACAAGGCACTTAACGACCTCACTGACGAGCTGGCTAGGCTGGCAAAACCAGGCGAGAGTGGCTCGATACGAACGCTAAAGCATGCCTGCAAGCCTTGCCCAGTTAACAAGACGCATGGCCTGCCCTGCTACCACGTTCTCTGGCTTTACAAGCAGCAAAGTTGGCTGCTACTACCCGAAAAGATTCACCCTCACTGGTTTTGGATTTGAGGGCCACTTCAACCCACAGTTAGCGCCGCTGGCCTACCTCTCCTCAATCCTCTACAAGTCAGGGCCAAGGGCCGCCCTCGCGTTGTCGAGAGGGCTGGCGATACGACCTCTAAGCGCGACGCCTCCCACTTCGAGTTTGAGATCGCTGACGAGGCCGCTGAGGCGTTGCTAGCACCGCCGTCAACTGCGCCGCCTGCCCTCGGCAGGGCTACGACTACCCAAGAAGGCCTCGAGGCCGTTGAACGCAACGATACGTACGAGGCTGGCACTGAACACCATCGCTAATCTCGCAGGGCTGCCGCTGCCCTTGAGTACGTTAACGACGTCGAAGTGATCGATCTGACTACCGATACGCCGCTGGGCTCGCCTCAACGCCCACCTACGCTAACTAAGCCTATTTCACAGGTTAAAGGCGAATCTATGCAGTCAGACGCTATGTGGGATATGCATGATTTGCTGCTGTTCAGGTACGACGTCGATATTGACCCCGAATTCGAGGGCGCGCTGGATCGTCTTGTTGACGAGGTGGAGGCCAGTTAGGCATAAGAAGCAGAGGAGGTGGCCGAACTACAGGAAATCGAGTGCCAGGGCTAGCTGGGCTGTTAATTTGAATACTACACTCGTTTGCAGCTGCTAGAGATCACGTGATATAATGGCTTTTTGATCAAAATCTAAAAAACTGGCTGCTAGGCCTCAAATCGTTCAAATCTGAGGAGTTTTCGAACTATTCAACAACTTGGTGAAACCCTGGCTAATCCTCCGGCTGATCCGGGCTAATCAGAGGCCTCCATTTTAACCGCTCGAGTTAGCGTTTCGCTGGTTTTGCCGGTCATCGGAGGCACGCGCCTCATACGCCACAGAGGGGGTGCGCCGGCTAACCAGAGGGGTGCGCCGCCGAACGGGGCCCTTTGCAAAGACAGTTGGGGCTTGGACTACTCCGCGTTACGGGGTAAGTTGTGACATTTCCGAGGTCAGTGGCGAAACGAAGGGTTGATGTTGATTTCGAGATGGATGAGAAAGTGAAGCCATTCGCAACATCTACGTGGCGTGGTTCGTGCCGATCAATGACGGTTTGTGTTTGAGCTGGCAGCGATCAAAGCTCATCCACTCATGGACCAAGACTCTATGAATGACTGCCAGTCAGAGAAGCCTACCACAGAGACGGGGTTACAGGTTTTGATGCTGCTGATACCTGGCTCGAGCACTACGCTAGGACATGTGTTTGAGTGAGCATGGAATGGTAGTACTTAATGCTCATGAAAGAAACCTTTGACCTGAGAATGAACGCAAAATGAAGAGAAGTTGAGATAAGAACCTGCTTCCTGCAGCTAAACAAGAGGTCTGTGGGTCAAATGTCCCCAAGCATGGCGGCGGTGATCACCATCCTCCGCCAAATCCTCCGCATATGTCTCCACGCTGCTGCAGCATCCCTCGGCAGCCACGAGTCCACGACGCCGCGGCCACGATGATCACAATGCCAATCTTATCGACATAGACCGAGACCTTTGAATTTAGCTTTACGAATTTCCAGTCTTGGCTACCGCGAGAAGCACCCGCGCCCACGATGTCGGAGCGTCACCGCGTCTTGCCGATAAGAAGAAAGGGCGTCAGCACTCCGATCCTTCGCGGCGCCGATAACAGAATGTGGCTTGCTTAGTCAACCCCGAATCCCGCTTGCAATTCCCCCGGCTGCCCCTTGTCGGGCACACTAGCCGGGCGCCTCAAACGGCACAGTCCGGAATTCTGGTGCGCCAGTTCGTTGAACCCCGCGTTTGTGGCTTGCGGCGGAGGAATGTCGCGCCCGGCGAAGCCAATGCGAATTTGGCGAGGATGGCAGTCTGACATGTCTATAAAGAGCGCGTCTTGGCCCTTTGAAGATTTGGAGTATTCGAAAACAGAAACATCATCAACATCTTTTTGTTTCACCAAACAGAGAAAAAGCAGGAAAATTCCATTATTATCTCATCTCCAGAACCTTCAGAGGTCCATTACAACGCCTCAAGCAACCATCTACAAGTGCACGGACCAGCTACAACATCATGGGTGTCACACACAGTATCGCGACGGAGGTTGAGATTGCTGCGCCGCCAGCAACGGTGAGGTCAGTGGTAAGTGACGACCCGTCGTTGGTCTCATTATGGCATTGTTTCTGATTTTTCCCCAGTTTCTCGACTGGCACCATTTTGATGAGTGGACCAAAGTGTGGAAGATGTCCACCAAGGACGAGTCGACGAAGCCGTCCGAGTTGAAGGAGGGCGACGTCGTCAGCACCAACCTCAAGGGAATGGCGTTCACACCTGTCATTCTGGTACGCTTATAATCTCGTTTTAATAACACTATTTCTCTAACAAGGAACAGGAAAACTCGAAAGAACTGTTCAGGTGGAACGGCTCGCTTCCTTACATCTTTTCAGGAGCCCACTCGTTTTACTTCCGGGCAAGCGAGAAGACGCCTGGAGGCACCACAATGATCCAGTCTGAAGACTTCAGTGGTCTCTTTGCATTTCTGATGAAGCCGTTTTGGGGATTTGAAAAAAAAACATTGGCAAACTGGAGGGAATTTGATGCGGATATCAAGAGGGAGAGCGAGAGGGTTTCGAGCCAGTGATCAATTCTGTGGTAGTGATTATGATGGAGCGTGCATATGTTCAATTTATAATGCCTATTTAACCGAATGAAAACATGCCTATCATATGCATTGCTGCCGACCGTCTTCAAAAGAAGCAATCTTTTGCTGCGGAGCGAACCCCTGGTAAATGTGTTGTTCTGGACATCAGAAAGCTGCGAAGCAATAGTTACCACTGCCCAATAAATCTTTAATCTCATGTGCTTGTGGTCAGCGATGTCAATCTTGAATCAAATAATCCCAAACGTCAGGCTCACCTATATGAGGAAACCGAACGCCTAATTCAGGTAGTGACCAGCCCAGTTAGTTAAGAGTGCCCGCCCAGAAAAGAAAAATCTATGTCAAAGCACGTAGAATACCAGAAACGGCTCGATTGCAGGCGTAAAAACCTTCAGGACGCTGTCACGAAATCATCAAAGGTTTAATGCGTAGAGCTGTCCGTGTCCTGGGAGAAGAAATCTGTGAAGTAGCCTTTCGTTTCATGAGACCTTTTGGCGCGCCTACGTCGCTCCAGACAGAACCAGATTCCTGCAGGAACAAAGGTCAAGAACATGAGTGGAAGGGTCACTTGGAGAAATCTGTCAAGCGCTATTTGAGAAAAGACCTCTCCATCTTGGTACTTAACGACGTCGGTACTGAAGAATGTCTAAATGTTTTCTGCATTAGTAGACATGAAATCTTGTAGAAGGAATAACTTACACTAGAGAAAGTCGCCGGAAGATAGATTAAAGTCACTATCGTGACTATACGCACTGCGATAGCTTCTACAGCACTTCGGTCGGCTTGATCATACATACTCGCCGTAAGTTTTGAAGAAATAAGCGCACTTTGGGTTTGAAGGTGCTGGATGAGCTTTCATCACAGATGTCAATCAGTACGCTTCATCTCTGGCGTCACTCGGAACATTGGGAAGGAAACATACGATAGTCTTTCGATCCGCCACAGTCCTGATCAACACTTTGGCTCTGGAGATTTGCATTTGGGTTTCGCATATCAACTCGTCGAGTTGCAGGCAGAAACTTTTCGCTGCCTGCTGACAGAGACGGCGTGCCTTTGATGGAAAATCGTCGTCTTTGACGAGATCTCTGTAAAATCTCTGAAGGAGCTTCATGATATTGGCATTTGATTCCATAGCCATGATCGTATCATTTGTTTTCTCCTCCCACCTTTGGACGCTCCCGAGTGATCCCGGATCCAATGATTCTATATGACTCTTCTCATTGATCAGAGCGGCTGATAGGGTCTATGTAAAAAGTGTCAGCAAAAAGAAGTGGAAAGGCGAATAATACAGACAATTGTCGGTGTCTTACCAAGTCCTCAGCCCCTTGCTCAAGGAACCGAACATTCCATCTCCACTCCGAAGTCGCCCATTGTGCAAAAGCAATGTGTGTCTCTAAAGAAGACCGGAATGCCTGCTCTAGGGTGGAAAAGCTGGTGTCGTATGTGTTCTTGTCACAATATAATTCACCTATTCGGTCTTTGAGGGCAGCATGCGGATCACCAATGATCCACAACTGCGTGGCTTGTCCGACATCGAATTGATGGTGAAAGGCAGCCTGGCGGATTTTCCAATTACCACCGGGCTTTGGTGCGGCGGTTTTCAAGTTGTAACAAAGTTGGAATTTTCTACCACTTCGACCAAGCTCCGGAACTTTTGTTCCGGGTACCGGATTGATCAACGTCTTCTCGGTCCTGAAGCCACTGAAATGCAGCTCTCTGTCCTCAGCGTGCGGCGATGCATAGGCGTAGAGAAAGTCCAAGAAGTGTGGGTTTACTTGATAGAAGCTTAGAAGTCGAAGTAGCATTATCGCACTTAGTCTCAGTGGTCCTACAGTGTGCTCTGCCCATAGAAAACTGTCATGTGATCAGTCATGCTGCATCGCCGATCTCCCATTTTTCTGAAGTACTCACATAAATCGGCATTGTTCATCCTGCTTGGATGCTACATGTCCACTGGAAGAAGGCCCACTGTTCATTCCTTGAGGGTCGCCACATCGGAGAAAGCTTTCCAACTGGCCGTCGTTAAAGATGTTGAGCTTTTCGACCCTTCCAGTCGAGGAGATGTCCTTGACTGGCAGTCTGAATTGAGCTTGGGTCTTGGAGCTATCTGAAACGAAAAGTCGGTCTTTACAATCGTACAAGCGTTGACGATGTTGAGACAGCGCATATGTTCCATATTTCAGCGCTGAGGGAAGGTTCAATGGATATTGAAGAAAGTCGTCATACGACGCAGTAAAATGTGGCATGGCAGCCATTGCACTATTTCCAATTTGAGAGTGGAATTAGAGCTCAGGACCCACTGATGACTTGCATATCGGTTAAGAGGAGAGTTCTAGAATGTCCAGTACGCGACGTCCGGCTTAGAGGACGACAACAACATAATTAAGAGAAGATGGCTTCATGAGCTCCTCTGCCGCATTTGAAAGGCAACTCCGTAGGCTTCAGCCAAGGCTGACTATCGGGCATCCTGATACATGACTTGGCCACGTTCACGCAGAGGAGGTGGCGATGAGCTAAGCACGGTACGCAGCCATGTCTTACAAGTTGCCAATTTACCAATCAATGGGTCGATGGCGTGCGGCCGCGTGCCACAAGAAATGCAACGTGACATGTCCGCCATTCAATCGGGCCGGAAAGGCTGCCTCCTCGGCCACGAATTATTCACTTTGAGACCGTCCGTGTTCAAGTCGAAGACGCATTACTAAATCATGATTCATTTCAAACAAACATCCAGTGCTTCTCCGCCACAACAAAAAAGCCTGAATTCGGTATTAAAGAGCTATATATACGATGGAAGAAATTCCCAGAGAGCCATCTGCCACCGAATTGCCGGTTTCAACAAAACTTGAGATTGTCGCGCTGCGGCTGGCTCTGATCTGGAGTCTTTGCTCGTTGATCGTAGTATGTGGTTTTGGTTTGGTCTTCGCTCATTCGAAGACCATCGATTTCCGACTTTTCAGCCTAATAAAGTCAGTTGTCGGATACTAGAAAGTTGCGAGGGGCTAAGAACCTCCGTCAACGGCCTAGGAGCACAGAAATGAAAGTGATCATCGTGAAGTATCTGCCATCACGTCATGTCAGTCGAAATCAGCCAGGCAGAGGGCTAAACCATTATGTTGTCAACCTGTTTCTCGGTGAAGTAAGCTTTTTGATCCTTGAAGAGATCTAAAAGCCAGTTCCGGAGATCGGCCCATTGTAAATTGTATGCTGAGATGATGACTGGAACCCAGCCGGGAGGTGTGGTTGGGAAGGTCGATGCACGAGCAGGCCCGGGCTTCTGCTTCAAATGGCTCGCCCAACTCGACGACTTTCTGGAAAGTGGTTTCGGATCTCCTCGCGGCATAGTTCTTTTCTGCAAGATTGATCGTTATGACAGAGGCTATAACGGTAGAATATGAGGCTGATGTCGGTGGCTATGGAAGTTCGCGGGCTTCGGTCGCGTCGCAGGCCTCCGGTCAAATCTTGGATTGAGAGCGGGAAAGGTGTGCCACCTGGGCCATGGGCGTTGACCGAGAAAATATCATTCCGTAGGCTGATTTTACACCTGGGCTTACCGTCCCTTTTGAAGGGCAGGTGGCAGGTTTGCCGGGGTGGTTCAATGGTTTCATGCTGTGTCACCTGCATCAGGCGGGCCATGGTAGCCTGACCCTTTTTGCAAGCCTGGAACAGGCTGAAGCAGGCAACCTGGCCGTCTTGGAGGATTTGCTGGCATGGCCAGGAAGAAATATGACAGACAGGATGTCTCATACCTTTTGACCAGTTACTAGGCTCTCAGCAACGATCCAAGATGCAGGCACGCCCCTCGAGTTCCTTCGCCTGAGCGTCCAGGCTCTGCCTTACGCCGGCCATCCCACTGTCTCGCGTTCTCACCCAATCATCAGTTATTGGAAATGAGGCGAACTGAAGGAACTTTGTCAGACCGTGGCAGAGCCAGTGGTAGGAGGTGAGGATAAGGTTGCTGATCCGACGATACGGGTCGTCAAATCGTCCGACCATCCTGGGTCACTGTCCCACATCCGCTGACGGCCCGTTGCGGGGAGGGTTGGATCAGTTCAGACGGCAGCTTAGGTCGTCGAGGTACTACGGACTTTTACCTATAAATCTCAAGATGCGTAGACGGATAGTATGGCCAAACGTCTGACTCAGACGGACGGAACATGGAGGCTTGGGGAGCGGGAGGGTGAGCGTTGGTCCGCGGACCTTCAGCTGGGAGCCTTAAGCACTCAACAAAATTGCGACACACCTATGCGAGTGGTGTGGCATTCAAGTGGGTGAATCTGACCCCTCTTTCTGCACACCATATCAGCTTCAGGTGCCTTCTTCCCAGTACAGATTATGGCAAGTAGTCTCCAAGTCCTTTGGAAACAACAAAAGGAGACTCAAACAAGCCTGGGTTCTACAGTGAACAATTTCAGGAAGATTGAAAAAGTCGAGATATTTCTGTGTCGGGCCTACCCAATTCGAAAGCTCGCTACTTTCTTTGCACTCTTATTTACGACTAAATGACGCGATTGACCGTTGGGCGTCAGTTACTGTGCTACTTATCCTGGTCCCCAAGATCTTCAGCCGCATATCATCTGGGACAGCCCTTCCCCCTCCCTTTAGTACCGACAAACCCACCAACTGCTGTCTGCCGAGCCTTCTGGCCTGCTTAAAATACTCATCCTTCCCTCCAGAAATCCATTCCAACATCTGTCTGATAGATGCGCGCGTATACTTTTCCAAGTATTGGAACCTTTCCCCTCCCCTCGGAAATTTGGCAGCGAAACCATCGGCTACGACAGACTCACCATCACTTGCCTATCTTGCTGCTATCCATTCCAGGTGATGTAATCGATCGGCAAGAATTTCCAAGCCAGCCACAAGCTTGATCACCCATGGCCTTCCCCTCAAACGTTCCCGAAAATGAGTCAAGATCACCAAGCAAAAATTGCTCGGGAATTCTTATGGGCTGTTGAGGAGTTTCGCAGAATTCGAGATCAAGAGACCAGAATTTCGACATGTGGGCAGAAATTTATTCTGGTAAAAAATGTCACCCAAAGGCTGACCCGCCCCTCTCCAAAATGCCCTCCAGAGTACAGTGACAGTCTCGACTGGTTAGGTCAGACCGCCTATCTTCGATATCGACTTCAACCGCCGATGATGAGAAGACAGCACTACGATAATTGTCAACCAGTATTCTACACGCTTCTCGACATAGATGCTCCAGAAATGATCCATTTGTTCAAAAGCAATGGGCTGGACAGACTCCCTATCGAGTTGGAGACACTTGAGAGATGCATCGAGCCGCCGCTAAATCGCGTTCGCTTCCATGCCGAGTTTTACGAGAAGCAATTCGCTTGGTGTCCGATTCAACTTGAACTGCATATGGCAACTTCATATCGCGAATGCGTCAGCCCCTTTTCTCGAAAGCGCAAGATCACAACCTCTCGAGATAATAGAGGCTTCGCGGAGAACACAGCCACCTTGTACGAGATCGACGTACTCGAAGAGCTTGTCGGAGAACAGCTACAGAGTTGCATGGGTTCGGCCAGAATTGACAGGAAAGACAGAGAAGAGAAAGAGAGGGTGCCAGTTGATAGCTTGAGTAAGGGTCATGTGAGTGTTTCCTATCCTTTCCCATTGGCCTTTTGCAACTAGTTTCAACTATTCGCTGACACAAAATCATATGTTATAGACTTATCGGTTCGCCCTGAAACAGTTCAAACCACAAAAGAAAACTCAGTTTGACAATGAGATCGAAATGTTCTCCAATCTGAGTGGAATGGAGGGAATGATTCGTTATATTGGATGGTTTTCCAATTACGAATCTGGTCCGGATGGGCGTCAAGAATACTTCAACATCGTTCTAGAGTTGGCCGACTCCGACTTCTACGATACCATCCTCGACGAAGCTCCTCCAATATCTTTCGAAGAGATTGATGGATTCTGGAGGTCCATGTCCGAAGTATCTAGAACGCTGGCATCACTCCATACCGTCGAAATCGATCGACATGAGTACTCGGTGTGAGTTTACATGGAAGTCTCACTACTGCAAACTTAACTAAGCCGATTTAGATGGCACGGAGACATCAAGCCCGAGAACATTCTACGCGTGAATGATCAGTTCAAACTGGCAGATCCGGGAGAGGCAAGCATGTTGCTGAAGCAGTGTGGTCCTTCGACGTTACCACGTTCCCAAGCCACAAGGGGTACAAGAACTTATGGTAAGGCAACCCATTTAAGGTTATTTGGAAGGTACTGATGCTGTGTTTCTAGCTTCGCCCGAGAAGGCTGCACACCTCAACGGACTCGTAGACTCAGAGTCAGCTATCACGCAAAGAAGCGACGTGTGGTCTTTTGGTTGCGTTCTTTCGATTGCGGCGACTTTCGTTGTTCTTGGCGCTCAGGGCTTCCTGATATACAAGGAACTCCGCCTCCTTGCCAAAGATGACATGAACGATGCGTTCCATGATGGCGAGAATGTTCTGGGCCACGTCATTAGCTGGCACAAATACCTCCGCGAAGCCGCTCGGAGGACCGATCCCCTTACATCAGCGGTACTGGACATGGTAGACTCCCATATGTTGGTACCCAGCACGGAAAGATGGGAGGCCACGAGAGTTCATGAAGAGTTCAAAAGAATTCTTGACAATGCTCAGGCTGTGGAGTCTCTTGTAGCAACGGACCTTCTAAGCTTGATCGAGACTATCGACCTGGAGGCTGAACATCACCAAGACCAAAGCTTTGGCTTCACGCGAGTGGATTCGGACACACTAAGAAGGCCCAGGCCAAATAGTCTACCTTCATCTGATACTCCAGGCGAAGGCCGTAAGAAGCTGTCGAAAAAGTCAATCCAGCCTACCGCTCAGCGCTCTCGAAAGACGGACGGTTCTCCTGTACAAACGCCTCGTCCGTCGCTCAGGATGCCCGTGATCAACCACCATGTCGAAATTAGGGAAAGTTTGCCCTACCAAACACCCAATATGGAACCTTTTGCCGTGTTTGCTGCCAACGGTCAGAGTTTAGCGTCATATCACAGTACCGAAACAGGAAGACCAACCACACCAGGCCCCTCACAGAACCTTCTCGGAACTCCAGAAGTCCTCGGCATGAAGGTCGCGCAAGTCAAGCAAATGCTCCAGAAGAATGGCATGCTGTACAAGCCAAACCCAAGAAGCCTCAGTTCGCTACTTGGTAAACAACAAGCGACTGTAAAGGGCATTGTCCTCTTGGATCAACGTCTGGAAGAAGAATTTAAAAACCGAGACATTGT